TTCGATTCTTCTTTCTCTTCATCGACTTTTTTTCAGATATTCTTTGTGATTGACAGCTTATATTCCTAACTACCTTCTAGTTCCATTTCTTACAGACTATATTTTTTTTTAAGTATTTTAATAATGGAAAAGATTTGTGAGGAAATTATAAAAGCTTTTTGATATCAAAAATTGAACTTTTTATGAGAAAAAAAGAATAATTACCAAAGCATAAAAGGTTTGAATAAAATCTATTTTATAAAATGTATAAGTGACTTGAGACATAAATACCTTGCTAAAACTCTTGAATAATGTCTTGTGTTTTCTTTTTCTCTTTATCTTTGGTTTCAGTTACCAGTCATGAAAAAATCCTTTTGCCTCGATATCTGGTTGAATTTTCATATCCAAGGTCATTGGAAGATCAGAAGGAACGGAAGACAGATTCAAGAGCTGTCTGGCAGTCTAACAAAACGAGATTGGAAGCAAAAGCGATAAAGGCCTCTGGATCTTGGCTCCAAGTACCGTTCCCTTGATCTTCCTTCATGGCCTGTTGTAACATTCGGTGGGATTACCAGCCACTTGAGACTTTCTTTCTCTTTTGCCTCTCTATCTCCTCAACACCCAACCAAAGCCTCTTTGTATGGAGTGTTAAGGTTAACAAAAAGCCTCCTGACTTTTTATATCTTCTAGCAGAACCGATTAATTCAGACAAGAATATGCTTCATGGTCACATGGAAATAGACCCTGAGCGAATAAAGTTTGTTAAATTACCACCATCAGCAACAGCCAACATCTCCAACAGAAAAGCAACATTCGATCATTCATATTCTCTACTGATGATAATCAATTATGGGATTGTGATTTTATTTACAATATTATTATTATAATCAGATATTTTTATGGCTAGTTTTATTGCTTTTATTAATTAACCAAGAAATTACTTACTTGGTTGTTTTCATTTTCAAGTGAATTTATATTTGATCATTATTCATTGACAAAAAATTGTGTAACTACTCGAAGAGATTTGTATTAATGTTGAAGTAAATTAAGAAAATACACAACAATAGCAAAAAACTGTCATTATAATTTAAATGAAGAACTTGGAGAAATGTTGTCGTTGTGTAGAGAGGTTCATTTTACAGCTTCAAAGATAAAAAGCTTTGTTACAAAAAATCTGATACTCTACAAAACAGGTCATATGACTTTTTGACATTTCTCAGTGCGTTAATGAGTTATTTAAAAAAATGAATTGTATTAACATGAGAAAATACAGCTTAAGTAGTTGAGAAAATAAGCCGTTCATCCTGTGGTTGGCCACTCAACAGTAAATACTTGGCAAATATCCCAGCTGCATTCGGACTCTTCAGCAACAGACACAAGAGGAAGGAGGGTAAAAGCGGAAGTAGTTATAGTCAACTTTCAAGCTTGATAAACTTACCATGACTACCAACCTAACTCGGATTATTTTTAGCCGCTTACGGTTACTCTAACATGACTCTGATGCTGATGCTGTGCAATGATGTTAGCATTGGCGTTAGAGTATCGCAAAAACCCATCATTTGAAGTTTGGAGAATGAGTAGCTATAAGTGGAAAACTTTCCTTCAATCTGACAATCATGTCTTGTCGGTTAGAATTTTTCACCGATCCAAACTATTATTCAACTCTCATCTTTGTTACACTGTAACCCTAGTGAAGAGAAATTGAAGGGAAACTCTCCCTCATTATGTTTGGTAATACGAGTTTGCTAACTCTATCAACATTAACACTTGCTAATATTGTTTTTTTAGGATAATTGTAGGGTTAATCCTTGAAGAGGGAAGCGGTATTAATTATTATCATTATGATATTACTACTTACAGATAATGATGAATATTTCCAGATAAATAGAAAGAAATATTTATAAAATTTAAAGATAAAAAATATTCCTATTCATGTTTTTTTTATCACTCCAATACTACGTCTCAACTTTATGAATTTCCACATTAAAAAAGTATCGTTTCCCCGGGGGGATAATTTAACAAAAGCAAGGAAAAAAATCTTGACATTAAACAACAAGAACAAAAGTCAGGATTCAGCAGGAAAATACAAGAGCATTCTGGGGATCTGGACAACCCTCAAGGGATCAAAACAACGATAGAAAAAAATAGGAATGAGAAAGAAGGAAAAATATATGAGCTAGTCTGTAGCAGAAAGCCCATAAATAAAGAGAAAAGTCGGAGATCCTTTTGGTGAACGATTGAGAGAGATACGAAAGCACGAAATGATTTTACCTAAACATGTGACGCGCCATTAAACACACCTTGCTCGACACGAGAAGCCAATAAAGCTAGAGCTAGCATCTCATATGAATTTATACGTCACTTCTGGGAATATCTCCAAGTGATACCATTCGTGTTATAGAAGTAATCTCCAAGATGTCATTCTCTATTTCAATAGTCCTTTGATGACAATCCTATTCTCTAAGACTTATCCCACACTGTTTTAAATATAACCAGCACAATACTTTTCAAGCACTCACTTTATTTCCATAGCTTTGAATTTCATTTGCATCATATTTTACTATCATTTCGTTGTTAAAATACCTGATTCTAACATTCAATTTCATTGCATTTTTTTATTTCTTTATTTTAAAATAATTGTATAAAATTGAAAGGAAGATAGATCATAATAAATGTTTAATGAGTGAACAAATAAATAGATTATAATAATGAAAAAAAATTAATAAAAATAGTTATTAATACAGTTAATCTGTCTTTGTATTTCAATGTAATCTTTTTTATTAGAATAAATTAGTTTGCAAAATTTTAACACCACGCGATTTATAGTAGAAGATATTTTAATTGAATTTAAAGCCGGATCTGCTTTCCATTGGAATAAAATCTCATGTCTTTCACGTGCCTCATCCCTCACTTTATTTTATTCTTCCTTTTTTTCCCCTCTCCCACTCTTTCTATTCTCTCTCATCCATTACTAACACTCGTCAGCATCAACTCATTTCCTTTCGTTATATTTTTTTTGCACTTCAATTTTTCTTCCTTTCTCAAATTTGGTATTTTTCTTCATTTTTAATGCCTATTACTGAAGATATATAAGGCTTTTATATCTGATATAAATGTGCATAGTCACAGCACATGTATATACAAGGACGAAGAGTGAGAAAAAAAAATAGAGTGCATATTATAAACGTAATAAAAGTCAGCGTTTAACATCCTAGTGCATATATAAGTGTATGTTGAGATGTAGTTGTGCATTGGTATGTAACGATCTCGCGAGATAAATATGCGTAGAGCTCGTTGTTGCGTGGGTGCGACGTATTAAGATTGACCGAGATCCCGAGTAAAACTACTATATGCTACTTTTACAAACTGCCTGCCAAGAATTACGCAACCTCCGGCTACCAGCGTAACGGCGTCATCACCAAGAGCTTATAATTCAAACCTTTAGCATCTGGAATTTTATTTTCAACTGGAAAAATAATGAGAAATAAACCATGTTATAAAATGACACATTTTTTATGACATCTTTTTTAGTATGACCCTTTTCTTTTTTTTTATTAAAAAGTTGATTAAATTTTAAACATTTTATATATGAATACAAACTTGATGAAATCAAACTTTTATCAGTACATAAGACACATCTAATTAAATTTATTAAAACTTCTTTACTTCGGATGTTTGACTATTTTCATACGATTTACTACTTGGCTAAAACTAATTAAGAGTTTTTCAGCATACTTATTAGAGGTATTTTTTTTAAATTTAATTTTTAATAAAAATAAATTAGGGCTCTTTCAATCAAACTTTTTTCTTTTAGATTGACAAATAAAAATTCTCAAAGCGTAGTAATGAATAATAATTTTTATCAATTATTCTCGAAGCATACTAATATTTTGAATATGATCAAATAAATGAGAAAAATATAAAAAATATTTATTTTATATTAATAATTAATTTATGAACAATGTAATAATATTAGATGTGATCATTAACTTTTTTTCATGGATGATGAAAATTTAATTAAATTAACTCATGGAAAATTCATGCAAATTAATAATAGTATGCGTTCAAGATAAATAATATTCCGGATACCATGGGATTATATATAATAATATAATCCTCTATCATGCGAAACGCGCGCGACACTGCGAATTTGCGTATTCACGAGGGGATTCCCGTTGGTAGAACGCGCGCGAATGCGTGCTGTGTATGAACCGTTCATTTCCGTTTTATACGTGTGTGTTCCTGGTTGTCCCACACCGATGCCGTTTGCAGGTATTCTGTTGCATTTCATTTCCCTTTCTCCTACTACACTTCAGACCTTTTGTTTTTCTCGCCTCTCGCCCTCCCTGGTGGTGGCGTCGCAGAAACTCAATTTTATTCAAAGCGTTTCTTTTTTTCTCCACTTTCTTGCTTTATTTTACCGTGTTTTCTACTTCTTTTTTTTTTTGGAAAAACTAAAAGCGTGTATTGATAAAGAGAAATAGTGTAATGTAAGAGAACGTCTTTCTTTGTATAACTATACTGAGTAAGAGGCGCGTCTCGTTGACGTGCGAACAAGAAGAAGAACGAGGAAAATGGCGCGAAGGAAGACAAAGGATCGTCAGAGAAAACTGTGAGATATGCCTCGGGACAAAAGGATCATTCAAACTATATACGCAATGCTCACTATTTTCTCAGACTTTATTCTCGCTAAATTTTCTCCTCTCCTTAACAACTTTTAATGGTATCTTTTTCTTCCATTTTATTACAATTCTATAGTGATATTTCCATCAAAAAATTCCGCTAAATAAATAGACTATTTAATAAACATTCTTTTTAAAAAGTTATTACACTAAATACTCTTAGATCATTTAGAAGAAAAAAAAAGCATCGAACATACAACAAAAAATAGCAGAAAAGCTTTTTCTCAGCGGCATAATGATTTCGATAGTTGAACACAAACGCTGAATATAATGACACGTCATTAAAATAGAATGATCTACGGTACTAATGACAGTGGTGGTTGTATTTGAATGGGGTAGGAATTGTACAAGGCCATGAAATCGTTGTTAAATGATAGTGAAAAAATTGTACAAAGTGTTAATAATTATTGAAGTGTAAATTTGACAGATATATTAAGCGTTAGATAGGTTGTTTCTGATGGAATGACAATGAGATCGTTGAACAGTTATTATTTTCATCATACAAACTGCCCCTATATGGAGTGTCTAACGCACACATGAAGGGAAGAGAAAAAGGGTCACACACAATTCACGTGTTGGTTTACCGACTCAACAGAGACGTGATCATAAAAACCACGACATTCGTTATATAAAGAGAAACGAAACCAAAATCGTTTGTTATTTTATACATATTTACATATTTACCAACGATCTCTGTAGATTTTAGGCAGTATATTTGATGGTGGTATCGTGATTTCGTAGATAATGTTATATTGTTATCTGCTTTGTGCTAAATGTATGAGTGTAGTTGGAAATGTTTATATTTCACCGATTGTACGCAAGGTGGTATTGTAAATATAAATGCATCTCAATTAGATGATATTAAAATGGAATTCGTACTCACCATCATGTGAAAATAATGACAGCCAAATTGATGTTGAAATTCTGAAATCAAAAATTATATTATTTAGAGTTTATTTTATTCCAATATTTTTTAGATTAAATATATCAGTTATTTTACTTTGAAAACTTTAATTGACATTTATGTTTAATAACATTTTAAATATATATTTAATATTTAGTAATATTTTTTATGAGCAGATGATCATCACCTCATTCCATCAGAAATTATAACACAAATATATTTTCATCGGTTTTTAAAATTTATATTTCTATAATTATTGCGCGAAATTTATCCTTATTTTAATGCAAATCACATATGATACCACTCGAGGCGCCTTATTAGTCGATTCATCCGAAATGAAATGAATATACTGATGGTAACATGACATTTTGATTTAATAAAAATATAATTATTTCAAGCATGATAACAGGCAGGTAACGTTCTTTTTTTGTGGTCTCAAGAGTTTTATTGTAATTCGAATAATGTAATCAGCATAATATACCAAGTAACAAGAATTCATTCCACTTTGAATAAAATATAAAAATTCTATGATAAAAATCATAGAAGTAACTCGTTATTACTATCCAATTATAAACATTGTAGATTTTTATTTTCTATTTTCTATTCATGAAATCTGAATACCATTATTTCATTTTTTTTTCACCAGCTCTTGGTAGTAATTTTGTTGGGATTGTCATTATAATAATTATGTTGTTTTGAAGTTATTAAAAAAATATAGTTATGAAAATGAAATGTGAAGGACTTGAATATATTTGAATTGAATAAATCCCTAGTTAGTAAATATAAATCAATACTTTTATGTAATTATAGCTTTCATAAACTGTCACGCAATAGCTTAGTAACGTGGAATGTTATCTTTATTTTACGAGCCAATTAAAATACATGTATTATCTTGATATATTTTTTCTCCAATATTCCATTGAAATGTATAATTATATAACAATTAGTAATCATTATTTTCATCTAATTTGACGATAATGAGTTATATTTAATTCATATCTGAAAATGAATTAAAATTTTTTGGCTCTGACTAAATAATGAATTAAAAATATTTCACAAAAGACTAAATGGTAAGAAATATTTTAAAACATCTAGTGTTTGTGGTGGAAAAAAAAAATATTCACAATGCAAAGTCAACTGGTGTTTCTTCTGTAGATTAAATATATATTTTTGTTAGAGTAATACATGAAATTCAACTCTACAAGTATATGTGAATATACACATGAATAAGTGATTTACGGAAACAAAGGAAAACACGTAGCAATCCTCAAATTTCCTTTGACCCTACAATTATAGTTTGGTGATGTGGGAAGGGTTTAGTAGTAGTATAGAATCCGCAGCAGGTGGTGGTTTGTATTCGATGAAGCCCCCTTGCCAAAACGGATTTGCATATTCTCTATGCATATGCATACTCAACTTGACCAATCAGAATTGTAGGACAGGACCTGGATGTTGGTTGTAACGTTGTTAGAATAGAAGATGTATAGAGTATCCACACATATACGGGTATATATATATGTATATATATATATATATATAAACGTACTCTATATATTGTATATTGTACATCAACTACAGTACACGTTGAAAATGAATAACCATTTTATGCTACGTCAAAACCAATATTGAAATTTTATTTTATCGAATTTTTATCTGTTGACAGATGATAAAAATTTATTTAAGCATCATTTGGCATTATTAAATATTGATCACTGAATCAATATTTTATCATTAGATTTTTATACTATTACTCTTTGGAAAGATTTGGAATTCTTTAGTCAATTATCTCTATTTTAAGAAAGGAAAGATTTCTCTTGAATCAAAAATTCAATAGTATTTATCTGAATGATGGAATTATTTTCTTACTCCTCTTCAATGGTTTTGGAGTAAATAAAATAAAGACTCAAGAGTTGAATTTATTTCTCAATGCCAAACAAATATTGGTTTGTACATATATTTTTGAAGTCTAAATAATTCATTTTGACTTAATAATATTCTTTTCTTTTTGTTATAAATTTTTATTCTACCATAATTATTTAATTTAAATATTCAATTTCAAATGGTATTAATTTATTTATCTACCAGGTAATCATCAATAATATTTAAGAAATAAAATCATTTTAAATACCAGATAAAATTTTTTTCGGTTAAATGATCAATTAGTGATGAATTGTTGATGAATGAATTTCAAAATAACTGTCAGTGTGAGATTTCAATCTAATCTGGACATTGTAATAGCCCTAGCAAACAATATTTAGTGAGGATTGATTAAGCACGAAGCGGAATCTTTGTACAAGAGGGGTAAGCTGTTCAATGCTGGATGTCAGTTTGCTGTTGTCAATTTCAAATAAGCAAATTACTGTTGTACGTGTATCAGAATATCTATCCTGAGCAGAAGTGATCGGTTCAATTTAGAACGTATGGCACAATATGTACAATAATAACTAATCAAACTTCACCTAAACCCCCTAATAGTTGTTAAATAGATGACTTATGTATATCTGTATCTATTCATATAATATAAAATCATTGATTTAAGCTCACAAAATATATCAAAATATGCTAGTCTAATGAGTCATCTCATTAATATTCCATAAATCATTGAAACGATCAAAGATAATTGAAATGTGATGCTTGATTCCAGTAATTATTTCCGTCAATATTCATTTGACATCTTTGATAATAATTAATTGAATGATAACACAATGTATTTAACATTCTAACAAAATTTCTTCCAAGATTTCAATACAAAAATCGTTATTATATCTGAAAAAACAACATTGATGATGAAGTAGTTGATATAATAAAGAAGTGAAGAAGAATTTTTCTTGATATGATTGATGAATACAAATGATAGTGGTCCTTTTATTATATCTATATATTAATTGGATTCTAAAGCATAATCTCTTCAACATTAGAGTACAAACATTGGTGGTGTCGACGCTGACAGGTAATCGATCGATGCTGATTTACGTGCATATAAATAATAGCAAGGATCGAGTACAGGGACTGCTGTTAGCACAGTGTGCGAATAAAAGGCGGGAAAGGGTTCTAATGTGTGAATACATGCAATTGTCTGTTTATGCTTGGTCATCGATCCGTCAAATTGTCATTTGCGTGTTTGAAATGCGTAGAAGCCTGGAGAATATAATAACTATTATGAAGAGAAACTAAACTATTTTATTTTTAATAAATCGTTATATAATATTATTAATTATTCACTTTTTTATTGTTAACTTATTGAACCAATGATACTACTTGTTGATAAAATATTTATGAAAATAAAAGTATTGATCTTTTGTGATGGTTGACTTGGTATAAAATTCAGCAAATTTTTATTTTATAGTTCTTTATTCTGATAAAATATTTATGATAATAATAAAACTTTTAGAGAAAAAAGTGCATTTTCAGGAGCTGTTTCAACAAAATCACAACAGACATTAGAATAAATCCATATTCATTGCTTTTCAAAGTTGTAGAAAGCTACAAAATGCTGTTTACAGTTAAACAGTGATAATCGCAATGAGATTAGTGCCATTGGAAGTAAATGCCAATGTTGTAAGCGAACTTGAAGACAGCGAAGTGATAGAAAGAGACAGTAGAAATGCATGGTGGCAAGCAAGGATTATCAACAAAGCTAATGAAATTACCAACTTGCTTTCTGTTGTCTTCTCACTGACTCACTTTAGAGCAATCTCTGTAGGTATGATACCAGAGCTAAAAGCTAACTAGAAAGACGTGGCAGACTGGAGCAAAAGAGAAAGAGAATACGAGAGAAAATATTTTTCTGTTAAACAGAGTAAGCTATATGTAATTTTACTTCGAGTGTACATCTAAAAGAAGCAGAGCAAAAAAAAAAAAGACGGAGGATTTGCTTCTACTTGAAGCTTTTTCTCTTCTAACTATACTAGAACACTAACACCATCATGTATATACCTTGATGCTGATGGTAGCAATGTTATCTTGAATAAAAGCAGATCTTACCAAGACTCTTTCTCCCATCCTCCACGTGCTAGCACTCAAATATCCATCGGAGTTTATTATAAACAACGATGAGTGTGAATTCTCAACTGAGAATAGACTTTACGGCTTTCTGGAAGTGGATTTCTACCAGACATACCTAAGAGTATCATCTATAAAATTTTATCTCATTGTATTGAGTTGATTAAACTATAAAAAATATTTTTAGTAAAGCTACTCGATCAGAAACATTGAAAATCTTCTATCACAACATCAGTCTGGTGATATTTAGGAGGAGTTTAAAAATAGTTGAACAAAAATGATCAAGATAGTGGCAAACTAAAAGCAAATTTCAAGAAACTTTTGATGAATTAAAAGAAGAAATGAACTGGATCATGGCTCTTTTTAAAACAGTATTTAAAATTAATTTAAATAAAATTAGAAATAAATTTAAATAAGATAATTTTTAACCTTTGGTGTATGAGAAGTTGTCGGTGTATACATGGATTTAACAAAAACACTTAATCCACTTTTGGTTCAACAAGAAAAAGTATAAAGTTCTCAAAGAATCTCCTGGATGTACAACAAAGTCCATTTATTTAAGTTCACTCGATGAAAGTTAGGATGAAAGCTGTGGCTTTTGTATTATATTTTTTCCTCTTTTAATAAAAATGACACAGAGAAAACGAGGTAGAGTAGAAAAGACTAGACTGTGCAGACAACGAATGTGAACCACAGGCTGACCACCTGTGCTAGGTCGGATTTACTCCCTTCTTCCTTCCGTTATTCCCACCCTCATTTCTCACTAGTTTTTTAAACTTGAGACCTTTCTTTTGTTAGTTTTTTTTTAGGCAATGCTTTCTGACTCTGGCCGTCTGCCTTGGCCGAGTTCTCTGATGGCCGCGGTCTTCCGGTTTGCAGGTCACTCTTTCCTGGCCCAAACCAACGATCCATGACTCCTATAAGGCACCTGTCGCTAACAGGTGATACCTGTAGGTTATCTAGACCCTTCTTAAAATTACTGGCACGTGCCCTTTTCTTTACTTTTATCTGCTATTTG